TCAAAGCATCATTCCGCCAACCCCTGAGGCCACAACTATGTTGGGTTTGTTTCCGATCAGTTATTTAAGAAACCACCCACAATATCTTTCACGAAGAGCAACGATACTGTGAGTGATATTCAGTGTGCGGGATACGGCGTCACAGCTTCTGTGGACAATTCACCTTCCTGTGCAATTTACGGTGGAGGAGGCGTCCAAGTACAGGCAGGTCACAGTGTAACTTTGTCCGCTGTCACGCTTCCCATGGGCCGCGTGGTTGCCAGCTGTTGTTTGCACTGCCCGCCTTCCGATAAAAATTTGGATGAACTTCTCGTTGCTCGTCTCCTCGAGACATTTGAGAGGCACGGTGCCAGCCCAGAGAAAGTGCTGACAGAGCTGACAACGATCACGTCACCTCAGTCCGCCAACGGCCAGCGACTTTTACCGCTGATGACGGAGTGTCTGCGTCGCCTAACAAATTCTATTTCACGTCCCATTTATTTGAGTGCTGCTGACTTTCCTGAAAACATGCAAATTTCTTTGACTCTTGATGACAAAAGAATAAACACACTTTCGTCCCACTCGATGATAGAGGTTCCACGTGACACGAATAATATTCGTGTATCCATTCAACGACCCCCTGCGCCTGGAAAAGCGTCAAGAAATGAATTTGCCAAGGCTTTAGTGGATGCTTTTTATCTCCAATCAACAACACCGCTTCCAGTCCGTTGGGGAGCCGTTCCAACGGAAACTCCAGAAGAAAGGGCTTTGCTGGATTTACTTGTACAACTTTTACGAGATCATGAAAATGAGCTGGCGCGGCAGCGTGCCCACGGATCCACTTCCGCCTCGGTAGATGGTTTTCAGTTTACATGCGGAGCTGGATGCCTGAAGAACGTTCGAACGGAGAGGCCGTGTCGATTAAGTGTGGATGTGGACGGAACCGGTTTTATGAATTTGGAACAAGGCGGTCAAGTACCGCAGGGATATGATTTTCCTGCAGGCTCCGTGCATCGTGTTCACATTATAGCACGTGACCCCGTAAGTGGTTCACTTTGTGCTGAAACACGAGTCACTCTGGCAGCTCCTGAAGTGGCAGATACGCCTCTAAATGTGACTTCTCCAGTGTCTTGTTTTTTAGATGCCAGTGTGACGCAGCTGCAGGAAGAAGTGCAGCTTCGACTTGTGTGTCCTCCAAGGTTTTGTATTGTTTGTGGTGTGGATGGCAATAGCAGCGGCAACACTGGGAAAGCGGTGTTTATCGCAAGGATGAGTGCTGCATGCCCTCATAATGTGAATGTGCGGTTACTTGATGATGCTGGTGGGGTGGTGTTTGAACAACGACTTGCCTTGCCTTCTATGATCGCACCACTCTGGTCCGTGCGGCTTGAAAATTCGTCACTGCAAGTAGATCCCATTAATGGCGGTGGGAAAACCGTTGTAAAAGCTTCCTTGGATAGATCGCCGGAGATGGACCTCATCGATCCCCTTTCTTTTGACAGTAATTATCCACATACTGTTTTACTGCGCAGGTACTTTTTGGGACCAGATAATTGCAACACGTATGTTGGAGAACTCTCCCTGCGTATTCCCGCATTCGTCAATCCTGCGC